AGGAGGGGCTGGCTGGGTGAGTGGGGGTAGCAAGTAAGTCTAGTTAAGTCCCTCAGTGGGGGGCGGTAAGAGGGGGGGCTGGCTGGGGTGAGGGGGTAGCAAGTAAGTCTAGTTAAGTCCCCAGTGGGGTGTAAGAGGGAGAGGGCTGGCTGGGGTGAGGGGCAGCAAGTAAGTCTGTTAAGTCCCCAGTGGGGGTGGTAAGAGGAGGGGCTGGCTGGGGTGAGGGGCAGCAAGAAGTCTAGTTAAGTCCCCAGTGGGGGGTGGTAAGAGGGAGGGCTGGCTGGGGTGAGTGGGGCAAGTGTCCAGTTAAGTCCCTCAGTGGGGTGGTAAGAGGGAGGCTGGCTGGGGTGAGTGGGGAAGCAAGTAGTCTAGTTAAGTCCCTCAGTGGGGGGCGGTAAGAGGGAGGGGGCTGGCTGGGGTGAGTGGGGTAGCAAGTAAGTCTAGTTAAGTCCCCAGTGGGGGGTGGTAAGAGGGAGGGGGGCTGGCTGGGGTGAGGTAGCGTAAGTCTAGTTAAGTCCCTCAGTGGGGGGTGGTAAGAAGGAGGGGGCTGGCTGGGGTGAGTGGGGTAGCAAGTAAGTCTAGTTAAGTCCCCAGTGGGGGGGGCGGTAAGAGGGAGGCTGGCTGGGGTGAGGGGCAGTGAGTAAGTCTAGTTAAGTCCTCAGTGGGGGGGTGGGTAGAGGGAGGGGGCTGGCTGGGGTGAGTGGGGTAGCAAGTAAGTCTAGTTAAGTCCCCAGTGGGGGGTGGTAAGAAGGAGGGGGGCTGGCTGGGGTGAGGGGGGCAGCAAGTAAGTCTAGTTAAGTCCTCAGTGGGGGGCGGTAAGAGGGAGGGGGCTGGCTGGGGTGAGGGGGTAGCAAGTAAGTCTAGTTAAGTCCCTCAGTGGGGGGTGGTAAGAGGAGGGGGGCTGGCTGGGGTGAGTGGGGTAGCAAGTAAGTCTAGTTAAGTCCCTCAGTGGGGGGCGGTAAGAGGGAGGGGGGGGCTGGCAAGTGGTGTGGTATGGATTATGTCATCAAGAACAAGTAGCGCGTTTCACCTGTCACGTAAGGCTGATGTCAAGCATTTTTTTCTTCCTTAAGTCTACCAAGAATGTCCGGGTGTACAACAGTTTTATACTAATTAAACTACCACCTGAAGTTCCTGGATATTTGTGTTTTATGAGACAACTGCCATTACTATGAGGTGATTCACGCGATAAGGGCGACAGGGTGCAGTATTTCCAGTCTGTTCTCACTAAGCTGTACAAGATTGCTATTGGTGTGAGTAAATATATTATTAATCCTACTACAACCCGAATTATTTATAGAACTGTGAATAAATAAGACAAGAGGTATTATTATCTCCGAATCAATGGCAAGTTTAAATTATGTTAAAGTGACGTTAAATCATTTTGACCACATTTAGCAACAAAAGATTAAGTTTAGTCAGCTTAGGTTAGGTTTATTTTCATTTGGTTAAACTTAGGGAATTAACATAGATACGTTCTCAATATTTATCGTCGTTACAGTAATTCCTAACAAGCATAAGTTATTACGGTTTTATATTTGGTTGGTAGTTAAGTTAGGATATACACAAATGACTAACAGACAAGAGTTAAGATTTGATAAGGGGAATAATAGTAAATCTGATTCTCAATTTACATGTTTCTATAATTTCAAATGTTGGTAAATAACGTATGGAGGAGACGATATTTGTGAGAGGAATCGGGTTTACAGCTAGTCTTTATAATAAGTCTTTACAGTGAATCTTAGTGAGCCTTTACAGTGGGTCTTACAGTTAGTCTTTACAGTGAATCTTTACAGTGAGTCTTTACAGTGAATCTTAGTGGGTCTTTACAGTGAGTTTTTAACAGTGAGTCTTTACAGTGGTCTCACTTACAGTTAGTCTTTACAGTGAATCTTAGTGAGTCTTTACAGTGGATCTTTACAGTGAATCTTAGTGGGTCTTTACAGTGAGTCTTTACAGTGGTCCCTACAGTTAGTCTTTACAGTGAGTCTTAACAGTGTATCTTAGTGGGTCTTTACAGTGGGTCTTTACAGTGAGTCTTTACAGTGAGTCTTTACAGTTCTCTGACTCATTTACACCTGTAATTTGCAAACAGTCACCTGAAGTGGATCTTAATGAGAGAGATGGTGGGGAGGTTGACTGGAGGCAGACCGAATCAGGATACTGGGGAAGGTCAACAGTTAGTTACAGACAGTTACTCAGTGTAGGTCCTTAGCGGGTCACCTGGTACAGTAACATAGCAGTCATGACTGTATGTGGTGAACTGGGGGGGTGGTAGTGGTGAAGTGGACTGGTGGTGGGGTGTGGCGGTTTCACAGTACTAGCGTGTCTCTCCCTCTTACTGTTTATTGATCTTTTCGGCGACACTATTGGTTTAAATGGCAATTATATGGGTGAAGTGTACTTATTTATTAGCGCGAGTATCCTACACAGTCGATATCGTGGTCCGGGAGTCATAATTAATGTAGAGGGCCGACACGTGGTCCTGTGACTGTGAGGTAAAGCACTGTTTTCGATTTGGGATTTTTACTCGTATAGAAAAAAATTAAATAAATAAATAAATAAATAAATAAATAAATAAATAAATAAATAAATAAATAAATAAATAAATAAATAAATAAATAAATAAATAAATAAATAAATAAATAAATAAATAATATATATATATATATATATATATATATATATATATATATATATATATATATATATATATATATATATATATATATTACTCTGCCAGTAATAGACGCCATAGATGAACCTCTGAGTCTGATTTATCATTAGTTAATTAAGCGGAGGGAATAAACAAGCACCGGCAACTTGTAGGTGCGCAGGCGGTGGGGGAATGAGTGCGCGGTAGTGTCCACATTCTTGCCTTGCCTCCCCACTTATATCTCACTGAACACCCTCACGGTCCTCGTCTTCTCACCCTTCCCTAAGTTGTCCCCTTTATTGTTGGGTAACACACGCCATGTGACAGAGCCACAGAGCTCCGGCGGGGAATGTCAGTGTCACTGGAGGTGTGGCGGGGTTAACACGTGTAGCGGCTTCCACCTTCAAGACTCGGAGCCACCTGTAGGTCACTAGTACTGGCAGGCCGGACCAGGACAGCTCTTTAGCAGTTGTGAGGGAAGACAACACATGGATTTTAATTTGGAACCTTAGAGTACTGTTGACCCATCCATGGCCGCCACGTACCTGCGGGCAGTGTCTATAGTCTGTCATCCCGGTACAGTAACCCATCTCCCCACACTATGTAATGTACAGTCATGATAAGTCTTCGTGCACAGTTCTTGTACCCCTTTGTTAGACAAAGAAAGAACTGACGTTTTTCATAAATAAAATAAAAACATTTATGCAGTGTTCAAGTACAAGTGGCAGGAACATGTACTCTACGACCCCTCTGGTGCGACACTCTTCACTTCCAACCAACAAGTAGAAAAACATCCGTATTTGTATCTCAAGATAATTTTGTAGACGGTGTAACCGTGGGCTGCGAGTGTATGTGACCGTGGGCGGCGGGCGTGTAAGACAACAGCTGACGACTGATCTACAGGAGGCGGCATGAGGGAGATCATCCACATACAGGCCGGGCAGTGCGGCAACCAGATCGGCTCAAAGGTCAGCATCGTCAGTACTGCGCCTCTCTAGACCATCTTTGGCTGAACAGTAGTTATAATTATCCTAGTGTCTCACTACAACCAGGCTCTTGTGACTGCAAATCTGTCCTTTTATTTTGACAATGGAAACTATAGCTATAGACATAACAGTCCCCCATTGACCAGTATGATTACCCAAGTGTGTCGGATCCGTCCCCCACACAGCTGTACTGCATATAACGGAGACATGCACACACACACACACATATGTGTATATATATATATATATATATATATATATATATATATATATATATATATATATATATATATATATATATATATATATATAATGTGTGTATTACAGTTACTGCTAAGAATTGCCACCACCTAGTTGCCGACAAGTAACAAAATGTACATTTTGGTACTATCAGTAACGTGAGGAGATGCCTGTGACCTGCCGTGCACGACGCGGGACACGTGTGGCCGGCCAGTGTTACTTTCATCAGTAATATAATGGCTGAAGGACCACACGTCGAGAGGAGTAATAACGAATAGTAACTTTAAACTGAAGAAAAACCCACACATTAACTCCCAAACTTTTAGAACATAAACATACTTACAGACGCAGCGAGACACAGAGGACACGAAGTCGATCGATTAATGAAATTAGACTTCTCAGAACACGAATTTTTGTCAGCGGTAGTGTGTGTGTTTGTGTGTGTGACCATCCCGTTGGTGACTCGTGCTGCTCAACACATTACAGAGATAACAATACTCCACACAGCCGAGTACCAGTAAATATCCCCACTTGTATACAGTATATTACCGCATGAAAAATTAATACATTGGTGTATATACGAGCACTATTACCCCTCTGGCTGAGTCAACCACCACTGTCACAACAACTACTCGGCTGATCCACTTACACCACACAAGAACACTCATTTATCCACATGAAAAGTGATCTAATTCAACGACACACACACACACACACACACTACAATACCTGCCACTGATCAAGAAAAAACTATAACTTCCTATGGAGATAAATGTTAAGATATGTTAATCCTCAGTCGAAAACGTAAATACAGAACTGTTAATAAATGGATGACGACAATATTGACAAGATTGGAATATAACACCCCAAAACCACCCCACACCCAATAACCTCCACACCCTAAATAATACTACAACAGCTACCCACCTAGTTCCTGGCTGGTAGATGGCAAGGTGTGGTGGAGCAGGGAGGCGGAGGAAGCAAGACTAGACTAGATCGAATTTGGTGGAAGGTTACCTGCAGCCAATAGGTGGGTGGCATGGTACACACACACACACACACACACACACACACACACACACACACACACACACACACACACACACACACACACACACACACACACGGCTGTGACCACTTTCTGCATTTATATTACCGACGATTAAGTGGCTTTCTTTAAGGGAAGCGTCTGATAGTGAGGTAGAACTGACATGACAGGGAATAAAAAAAAATATAACTCGAAGGTAAATACTCTTAAAACACAGATGGCAAAGTAGAGCCGCCATGAAGCTCTAAATATCATTAGTATCATAATTATATATTCACACATGTACTCACGTCATGCACCGCCATTCGTGCATGACATTAATAAACTCAGTTACAAACAATTCTGTTTATCTGTTTAATCTAGTGAAACTAAAACTACTTTGAGATGAATATTTTATTGCTCTCGACATTTCTATTCTTAATAATATATGAGACACCGTGTTGCTATCTTCAGCCCATCTGCATGATTCCGTAACATTGCTCGAGTCTGTTCCTGATAGGTTGATTAAATGTGACGTTATATAAAACATTCATCATTAATTAGACTAAATCCCAATTAAATAAAGTTCCTGAGTTATACTGTAATTAGTCAATTTGATGTTACCATAACTACCAATTTAATACACTGGAACGTAATTCTTTCCAGCGTTTGAATCAACATAAATATCAAACAATTCCTGATAACATAAGCCTTTGATCTCCAACATTTTTTATTTGGTAAACTTTTGGGTGTTATTGAGCAACACCAGTCAAGAGTTTTTAATTATTTTTTTTTATTTGGAGGAAAAAAAAAGAACATTCCTAGACGAAAATGTTTCCGCTATTCTGTGTTGTTGTGGTGTGTGTTGTGGTAGAGACTGTGTTGTTGTTGGGTGTGTTGTGGTAGAGACTGTGTTGTTGTGGGTGTGTGTTGTGGTGAGGACTGTTTTGTTGTTGTGTGTGTTGTGGTAGGTACTGTGTTGTGGTGGTAGTGAACTGTGATGTTGTGTGTGTTGTGGTAGTAGTGCGTGTGTTGTGGTGGTAGTGACTGTTGTGGTGTGTGTTGTGGTAGTGTGTGTTGTGGTAGTGGTGCTGTGATGTTGTGTGTGTGTTGTGGTTGCGTGTGTTGTGGTGGTAGTGGCTGTGACGTTTTGTGTGTGTGTGTGTGTGTGTGTGTGTGTGATCAAGCACTTTATACGCTTTCTCTCACTTGTTGATATTTTCTGGGGCAAAATAATTTCACGAAAGCTTTAAAATTAGTTAGAACCAGACTTAACAATGCCTTATTGAGACAGTTTTCTCTCATCACCCGTCAATTTCCTCTGTCACCTGACTTCATCTATCATCCGTCACGTCGCTGTTTAAGGTAGATATTGATTGAGGATAAGGAAAGGCTTTACTTACCTTCACTGTCAGACAGGTAACGACATACACATGCCAGTGATCAATACCTGAGAAGTTATTTACCTCGTCACTTCCCCAGCAGCGTGTGTCAGCTGTAGGGGAGGCCAATGTAGGTGTGGTTACCCTTCTTAAATCACCAGGGTCTGAAATCACCTGGTTTATAGATAGATAGATAGATAGATAGATAGATAGATAGATAGATAGATAAAACTATATTATTTATCAACATCTTCTCTAACAAATTGGAGTCAGGTGTGCTAATTAACTTTTGTCTTCTACCCGAGTATATACCAGTACCTTTAAACTATTATTACTCATCATATCGAATTAATCTCCTCTAGAAAAAAATATATAGTTACAATGTGGCAACGCATGAGGGAGGGACAGAGGCAAGCGTATATCGAAGTGGGATTAAGTTTTTCTTTTACGATTCGTCAACATGAGGTGGAGTCGCACGCCTGTGAATTATAGCCACTGTCCAGGGTCCGGATACAGTTCAATCACACCGGGCGAGGGTCACTGTCCTGTTCAATTATAAGTTTTTACAATGTCTCATATACTACTTTTTTATTTAATATAGGAATGATTTTATAAAGCTGAATAGTCTTGTAAGTAGATAGTATATACATGTAAATTTTGTTATAATATGTTCTGGACTTGTTGAAAATTATGGAGATGTGTATTTCGATAATTGACCGTAATTCATTTAATGGAATGTGTACATGAATGTACTGTACCCTGTATACTTTAGATTCATACTCAGATATGTATGCACGATATTACAAACACACACACACACACTATACTGCTACTTACCTGTCATTCGGAATCGAGTATGACGATCATTCAGCTTTGATACAATTTTACGAGTTATTAAGGATGTTACTGAGGTTGGTGAGTTCTGGGGTGACTAAAGAGACCGATACAGGACCGGCAGGGTCGATCACATAGATGTTGCACAACACACACACACACACACACACACACACCTGGTAAGTCGTTAAATTACCCAGGCAGAAGCAATAGCAGATACTGGGCGGCCACTTGAGTTAGGTTAGGTTAGGTGAGGTCGTGATATACATTAATACAGTTCCCCTCAACAGCTGATCAGTACGAGCTTGAGGCTATTCATGTGTTACCAGTCAAGTTTAGAGGATTCAGGACAAAATATTATTCAGAATTATATATCTATTTCACATTCCTTTTAAATGATTTAGCTGTCAAGTGTAAAATCAATAATGTGAATTCGTTGTCTTAAGGTACACGGTAATGGAAGTAATTTGTCTACAGGCAGGTGTTAGGTGATTAATTTTTGTCAGTTTTTGTTGAAAATAAAAAAAAAAGTCCACACAACATAAACGATAAAATGACTGTGTTGATGCCCACGATCAAGTAAATACACAATTAATGAACCAACAAACAAGCGACAGTGAACGGCAGATTAACCAAACCCAATCTAACCGAACCCAACCTAACCCAACTCAACCAAACCTAACCTAACCTAACCCAACCACCCAAATGAACGAAGAAGAAAATGTGGAATTGTTAAGGTGGGGTGCTTGGTGTCACCCTCCTGTAAGTCTAACAACCATCAACTGTCCTTCAGGAATCTTGACTATTACCATTGGTATTGATCTATCGTGCTGAGGGACACGCCACCTAGGACCCACCTGCCGGGGTTCCAGGTCCCCTTCAACGTGTGTGTGGTTCTCTGACTAATGGCACCCTGGATACTTTCTTCCCACCAGACGTTTGGAATGTTACCTGAGGGAGCTGTGTGTGTGTTGTACTGTGAATTACCGGGTGAGGGAGTGTGGGTAACCTGCTGACAGCCTCTTGTGTTGTGGTTCTCGTATCTGTAACGTCTAAAGGCCACATACCGTACCCATAACACGACAGTTTATCATAATATATTTAAGGCAAACAGAGTAACCTTTAAAAACACTGATGATTCATAATTATTTAATAGTGAAGACGAAACTCTCCCTAAAATACTTATACTGTGGGTGTATAGTGTATCACTTTAACTCGAACACCCTGTTTATCCCCCAGTTTTGGTCCGATTCAATCCATTTCGGTTTAAAATGATCTTCGATTCGGTCTATTTCAATACGACATTACCCTGGACTCAGTTCCGTCAAGATTCGATTTGGTAATTGAACCAAACATTATTTAGAGATTTATGGAACTATAGGACTTGAGGAGCTCATTAAATCAACTTAATTATGGGACTATCGAAGGAGGGAACATAACTTAACCTAACCTAACCTCAAGACTAGACACCTCATAGGAAATATTATAGTGTCGTGGGT